CACTGGCCGTGATTCGCTGCTCCAGGCCAATGGGAGCTGCTGGAAGCAGCTTTCCCTACACAAGCGGCGTCCCAAGTTCGGGAAACAGTGGTTTAAGGAATAAAATAACTGTTTTTTGGGCTGGCCTACACTACTGCTTATGTCAATGTAAGTTACATTGCTCAGGGGTGTGAAAAAGTTACAGCAACCTAAGCACTGTCCACACCAATGCTGTGTCGGCTGGAGATGCTCTCCTGCCGACATAGACATTTCACCTCCGTGAGAGCTGGAAGCTATGCCAAAGGGGAGAGCAACGGTGCAGCTGTGCCAATGTAGCACTGTAGTGTAGACTTGCTCTTTGTTTGTTGACTTACCATCCAATATTTCTCTTGACTGTAGGGTTTTTTAAACAAGGAACAAAAGAGTTCTTGCAAAGCAACTACAGTGGTTGGGGGACCATTGGGATGATTTTGTGTGCATCCTGGTGAGTTTAGGTAGGGTTCTCTGCTTTTTTTCTTGCATTCTAAGAAGATAAAATTCACCAGTGTCCACAGAACTGATTGCTGGGGGCCTAATAAACTCTCTTGAAACATTTTCGGGGGAGATTCTCTTTAAGGAAATGATCTGGTCTGGGCGACTTAGTGATCTCAATTGCTTCCTTTATAAAATAATTGCCTCTGAACATTTTCTTACATTCTTACCTATACACTGGGGGAGAGAAAATTGACATTGAAGCCTTACAGGAAGAGACAATAAGGTATAAACCGGGAAAGAGGGAATGAGAGAATGCAGGACCTGGGGAAGAGAGGGCGAATGGGGAGAGAACTTTGCGAGAGAGAAGCTGAAAACTGGAGGCAGAGAAAAGTAGAGGTATTGAGGAAATACAATTTTCTCTGAAAAATTTTTGTGCTTAGAAAATGGATAGAAAAAGAGATATTTATAGACAGGTGAGAGGCAGAAAAGGATATGCAGAGGGCAAGTTCAGACCTGTAACAAACAGAAGGCTGCAACATACAAAGTTTCAGAACTACTGCCCTACACACACAAGCAGAGGGATTCTTCAGAAGCAAGCCACTCAGACAGATTTTCCCATTCTGGAAAAGGAGGGGTACTGTGGAAATGCTCCAAGATCATTGACCCATATCTTCAAGTGACTCATTGTTTTGCAATTTTTAATAGTTCTTGTGCCTGCCTCTTTATTCCCTAACTCCGCATTTTTGAACATTAAGAATTTATTCAAAATGCTTTATTGCTTGTCTCAGGAAAATCCCACAAAAGGCGTTGTGATGGGGGAAAACAAGACTTTCTAGATATAAAGGGATATGTGCACACTAGAAACATTCAGATAAGAAATTATGCACCCAACTTTTCCTAATATAGACAAGACAAAGAAGCATAAATCATATATTGGCATGTTGACATTTCTATCCTAGTGTGGATTAAATTTCCTCACTCTAAAAGTATTTGGTTATATTGGATGCTTCATTGCTACAAGTTGCTGAATTCTTTTTTGGACTATGGTGGCTGATTCTTAAGAGTATAGTCTCAGAGCGGCCCAAGTCTACCAAGCTGATATGAAACTCTTACTCTTGTGTTATGTGGATAAAGCTCTAAGCAGTAAAGTTAAAAAATATACACCCAAGCCAGCCATGACTTAATGAATGTGCTTATAGAAGCTGTACTAAATGAGTAACCCAAAATGTTTTTTCTGTTACAGTAATGCTCACTAACGCCACAATATTTAAATCTGCTAAAGTTTAAAATCTTTTGTATAAGCTTGATATTAGTCATTTTAAAAAAAAATCCCCATCCTATTAGAAGGATTTTTCAAAATGAGCTATTTTATTTTTAAATTAAAAAATCAGCTGCTTAATTTGTAGTTTAAAATCTTATCACTCTCCATTGTCTGCTGTTTCAATCCAGACACTTCCTGCTCCAGCCTGTTACTCTCTTGGGGTACGTCTATACTTACTTCCTGGTCCGGATGTAAGCGATCGATCTTCTGGGATCGATTTATCGCGTCTTGTCTAGACGCGATAAATCGATCTTGGAAGTGCTCGCCGTCGACGCTGGTACTCCAGCTCAGTGAGAGGAGTACGCGGCATCGACTGGGGAGCCTCCCTGCCGCGTCTGGACCCGCGGTAAGTTCGGACTAAGGTACTTCGAATTCAGCTACGTTATTAACGTAGCTGAATTTGCGTATCTTAGTCTGAAGTGGGGGGTTAGTGTGGACCAGGCCTTGCTCACTGTCATACCCCTGCGTCTGCCGTGCCACTATCTGAGTACAGAAGGTGTCTGACTCAGCCTGGATGTCTGTCTTTCTCAATTTTATCTTTCTTTAACTCCTCTCTTTCTGCCTTTAACTGATTTCTCTTTATTTATTACCATCACTACTCCTTACAAAGCTGCAGGAATGCTCCAGGACCAGTAAAGCTCTCAGGCTTCCAGAGACCATTATCATGCTCCTGTACAAAATCAGTCAAACTGTTTCCCAAAATCATTTTCAGCTGTTCTTTGTTTCCAGCTGTTTCCCTTTCCTTCTGACCTAATCCCTCAACCAGGGTACTAGCCTAGGGCCCTGAGTCTCAGTAACGAAATATATTCATGACACGGGGAAATTCCAGGTTGCTACCTTGCTCCCGCTATCTTCCCCCTTTGCACAGCACAGCAAACCATTTGTTCCAATCATCCCCTTCCTCTCCACCATTCCTGGCAACTGGCTTGCCAAATCTTTATCATATATACAAAAGTATCTGTCTACAGTGCTTATGAAATAACTCTAAAGTTTTATTACGGCTAGGACACTGGGGGGGGGGGGAGGGGATTGATTTTAAGATACGCAAATTCAGCTACGCAAATAGCGTAGCTGAATTTGACATATCCTATTAGACTTACCCTGCTGTGAGGACGGTGGCAAATCGACCGCCGCAGCTCCCCCGTCGACAGCGCTTACTCCTCCTGACGAGGTGGGAGTACGTGCGTTGATTTGGGGATCGATTTATCCGTCTAGATGAGACGCGATAAATTGATCCCCGAGAGATCGATTTCTACCCGCCGATCTGGGCGGGTAGTGTAGACTAGCCCTACATGGCCTATGTTACGGACTAATTCAAATCATGCTTTTGTTAGTACCTATTAAAAGCATATAAGCTGACATGAAAGGATGAGCTAAGATGTGTGCTGTCCATTTTTCATTAGCTCTGTGGCTATAGTATGGGGCCATCAATTCTGCAGTCTCCTTTTTTAAGTTTATTAATCAAATGGTATTACTAGATAGCTGCCTACTGTTGGAGAGTCTGGATTTTTTTAGCAGTTGTTGCATGTTGACCTAAAACCAATATGAAATGAGGTAACCTGTTGATCCCTTTGACACCTTTGACCCATGAAGAAATTATCAAATTGCTGACCTAGAGCATGGTAGCAGCTACGTTAGTTTCATGAGTGCCAACAGTTCTCAACTACTTTTTCATAGGCCCCATAGACTTTCAGGTTTGTATACACAATATAGGAACCTATCTGCTTCTTTCTCACAGTTTTTATATTAAAGTAAGCACCAGAAAAGCATTGTATGTTTTTAAGTACATTGAAAAATATGTTAAGAGGGACAAAATGTTGGTTTTTAAACAAGGAGATTAGATTATTATGGTTGTGACAAAGCCTGGGGATTACGTTACCTGCTTACGTTCTAGCTTTAGCACCTTGTTGTGCCTCATTGTTGCAGGAGTCTCAGAATAGTGCATTAGGTAAAATAATGGATATTTAACTAAACCAAAATAACAAGAGGGGAAAAAGGAGGCTTAGGGCTTGTCTACACTACAGGTTATGTCAGTATAATTTGTTTCCCAAGGGTGTGAATAAGCCACGCCCATGAGTGATGTAAATTACACGACCTAAGCGCCGGTGTGGACAGTGCTATGTTGGCAGGAGACATTGCTACCACCAGTCACAAAGATGGTTTTGTTATATTGATGATGCTCTCTCCTGTTGGCATAAAGCATCTTCACCAGACTCACTACAGTGGCGTGGCTGCATCGGTGCAGCTGCGCTGCTGTAGCACTTCTAGTGCAGAATAGTCTTTAGTCTTGACGTAGGAATTCCTGCCTCTGTTAGTATGCCTCTTAATTATTATGTTTAAACCAATATTGGTGGGTTTTTTAATAACTTGTAATATACAGAAATCTGTTTTGTGTATTTCTGTAACCAATAGAGCAGTTTTGATTAACTTTCCTAGAAATTAGAGGTGCAGTAGTGACAGACTTGGAAATACTTTCTTCAGGTCAATAACAGATTTTAAAAAACAAACAATTCCCACCCCCATTGATTGGTATCTTAGAATCAATACTCCTGTCTCATCTCAACAAGTAACAGCTTTCAGGAAAGCTGGCTTTGCTGCCTTTGGTGCATACTTTTTGTCTCTTGATTCATTGCTACCATTAAAACACCAATCTATCCTGCATTCTCAAAAACAATGGAGGCAGGTCAGAGTTTCAGCCTGTGGCAGTCTCTGTCAAAAAAATAGAGGTCATTAGCTGAAATATTAGTTTCCTGCAGAGGGAAAATGCTGACTTAGAATTAAGATGTTATCGCAGTGGAAGTCCTTGATTTGTGTCCCCTCATGGCTGGATGGATAGTGTGCAATGTCTTTGAATGGAGAGCAGTGGTATAGGAATAGAGGTATTGATACTCAAATTGAAGATGTTCTTGCTATTGAGCCAGATCTGAATTAAAAGTAATTTTGCCAGCTCAGCTACTCTTCACTGGCTGTACATATCTAATAAACCAGTACAGCAAGATTAGTTTTAGGGAGTGTTACACTTCTTATGCAGATCTAATGGCATTAGCTTTTCATAAGCTAACATGCTGCCACATCTTAACTAGTACCAAACTTTTTTAGTGCACTTCTTTAATTTGTTTTGTCAGTACAAAGAGGCTGTTAATCATGTTCTTAAATTTAGTTGGTATGTTCAGCTCTGCCTCAGTTATATCCCTTTTATCCTTCTGTATTTTTGTATTATTTCCAGGTTTCTTTATTCAGATGAAGTTCAGATTGGTCCTGAAACAGTTATGACTACTCTCTACACTGCCAAGAAGTATGCAGTCCCAGCCTTGGAAGCACATTGTGTGGAATTTCTCACTAAACACCTTAGAGCAGATAATGCCTTTATGCTTCTTACCCAGGTAACCTGAATAAAATGTTGGCTTATGAAAATATTGTTTAATAAATCAGCCCCCCAAGAGCTAATATTTTACACAATGTTAGATGTCTCGGTAGTTTAATCTGTGGTAGAAATATCTGTGCAGCATATCAGTCTTTCTGCAAGCATCTTATTGCAGCTTTGTCACTCAGCTTCTTGAGTATGAAATAATAGAAAGGAAAAGGGCTTTGTAAATAAACATATTTTTATATTGTTATTGGAACATCATAAACATGAGGTCTGTTCTCTCTTCAGTGCTATTAATATTAATATTCTAATGAATTAATCTGAGGCTCTTTGAGAACATTGTCTAAATTTTGATCCAGTATTGTAGTTTTGACTTGCAATTTCAAATATAGAGATTTATCTTTGGCAGTGTAATAATATTATTCAGGAAGGAGAATTGGAGAACTCTGATACAAAAACTCTTAATGAAGTACATCATTCAAGGGCTGTTTGACACAAACTCAAGGAATCCTTGAAAGGTAAATTGAGGCTGTCTAAATAGAATGTATCCATTATTCTGGAGTAAAAACTTGTTTGTTTGGGTTACTTCTAAATCTGTTGGTTGCAACACCACAGTCATATCATTTGTCTGTTAACAATATATTATCTCCATAGGCTCGATTATTTGATGAACCTCAGCTTGCTAGTCTTTGTCTTGACACTATAGACAAAAGTACAATGGATGCAATAAGTGCAGAAGGTTTTACTGATATTGACATAGGTAAGTTGCCTTCTATTACCAGAATATGTATTTAAACTTTGTAAAAGAACTGTATTGATTTGCATTGTTAAACGGTGTACCTTTTTGTCAAAGCTTGCACTGAAACATGTAGGATATATAGGCTCTAAAAGATTCCCATATATAAAAATCATCACATTAGAGAACTCTGCTAAAAGGCTTAGCCATCTAAACAAATAAATTAGTCCCAATTGACTTGTTTAACTTGACCATTTTAATAGTTGACCCTCTTGTAACATAGTGGTTTACAGGTATCACATAATGTTGAAACTGGTGTTTTAACTTGACAGGTTTAGGATCAGATTTTTGGTTTAAAAATCTATGCTCACATTGATTAGAACTAGTTAGAACTTTATTAAAAGTACAAGGATTTTACCTCAATACCATTTTGAAAGATGAAGCAAACATTTTTATATGCTAGTCTACATTGTCTAATTAGTGTAGGAATTTTAGTGGTACAGTATTTTGATCACTGTAGTGCACTTTTTTTTTTTATCGATGCAGAAGAAACACTGAGTAACATAAGTTTGAATACAAAATCTAAATGCATAAAAAAATCAGTTTTACCTTATTGCGAATGTTGTTACTTTTGCATCTTCAGGTATCTTTGAAGAATTTTTCTGAATTTTCACTATACATTTCTGTTACAATAATACTTTGTGTGTGATGTCTGATTAAATCTGTGAGAAAATACTAAAAAAAGCTTGAGTGTCTGTTGACTTGAAAACACTCCAGATTTCTATCTGGTTTGGTCCTGTTTAACTATATATGCCATATTTATAGTACTGTCTCTAATTTTGTTTTAGGTCACTACTGTGATTTAGTACTGCCCATCATTGGATTTACCAAAAAATTGCTGCCAATATGGCAAAAAAAGAGAAATTGGTTTTGTAAATACCTTTGCTGCATGTTCAGTTTTAGTTGAAGCATTATGGTTAAATTACTCTTCTTCGAGTGTCCATTTGCCAATCCCGCTCAACTACTGGGCTGGTCCTGCCTACTTTCAGCTATGAAAGCAGCATATGTATATTCTTCTTGACTAAACTTAGTACTGTAAATAGCCCAGACTGATATCAGCTTCCAACCTATGAGTGGGCTCAAGCCTAGACTCCCAGGAGGGAACAGACTATTGGCAGGAGAAGCGGTACATTACCTGATGCCATTGACTTCATCACAACCAACCTCAGAAAAGCGTTAAGAAGAGTGTCTGTGTAGAGGTAAGGGAGAGGAAATAACCATGGTGTATGAGGTACACAAGAAAAAGATGGGACTAAAGCTTTGCTAGAGGCCAGGGAAGGAAGAAACAAATGGGACTCTATACTAAGATTAACTCATATATTTTCCTTGGAGTGGGGGAATAGATGATTAATTGGAATTCAGAAGAAGATTAAACAGTGAATAAATGAGGTTCAAATTGATTCAAATTACACTTGCATATAAAACTAAGGGATAAATTATAAACAAGAAAATAAGTGCTAAGAACATAACACTCTTGTTTGCATCTTTTTATCCTGCTGTCCATAGTTTATACGTTGTCTGTCTAGCATGCAGACTCTCTGGAACAGGAGCCTTTCCTCTTTTCTGTCTGTAAAGCACACAGCATGCCTTTGAGTGCTGTATAAATACAATCCTGCCTTTGCAGCTAGTGCAGCTGCATGCTTTCTCAGACTTTGACTTACTACTGCTGAAAATTGCTAACTTTCAACTACAGGGTTTCCTCTCTTACTAATTGCCTCTTTCTCTGCCCTACATTTGAAATGTATCTAATTGCAATGTAAGCTCATGGTTCGAACTCAGGCTGAAACCTAACATCCGTCCATCTACATGCAAATTGCCCTAATTCAGGGCTCTGACTGAGGGTCCTGGACCCCACAGGGGTGGAGAGTTAGAGCCTAAATCAAGCTGGGACCCTGGGTTCAAGTCCTATTGCATTGCAATGTAGACGCAGCCCCCCTGGACTAATGCTCTGGGAGTCTGTCAAAAGTATTCCACAATCCCAAACGCTGACTTTTTGTTCCTTGGACAGCCGAGTTTGGTGGCGTAAGATTCCTTGGATCTCTTCTGGGGCACCTCTTTGGCGGTGGGGAATTGGTGCTCAAACTTGAATGGGTGCAACCAGTCATCCTGGTTTGCAGCTGAGCCCCTCGGCACAAGGTAGCTCCAGTCTCCAGGATGGGGGCTGGGCCAGTAAGAAGTCTGTGGCTTGGGGCTCCTGCCTGAGGGCTAAACTGTTAAATAGACAAGGACTCAGGCCTTCTGGGCATAGGCTGAGCAAACAAGCAGGCAATGGCTTAGGCCCCTTGGCCTAGGTATTAGTGCTTGCCCAGCCCTGAGTGCGTGGCTGGGGGTAGGGGGATCCCAGCCCACCCTGCTCCACTGGATCCCAGCCCAGGACCCTTGGAGCAACCAGTGATCCCATTGTGGGGCCAACAGGGAAACATGAGGTCACTGCCTCGTCTCCCGGCAACACACCAGACCCAAAGTCTCGTTTTCCTGGGCTGCTTCCTACTGGCGTCTGGTTGGGTTGTTCTCTGCAGTGACTGGGGCCTGGTTCCCCCTCTCTGTGCCAGGCGGCTCACTCTGTGCTTCCTCTCCCAGTTCCTCCATCTCCTGGGACCATGGCTTGCCTTTTCTCCAGGCTGGCTTAGAAGTGTCATCATCATCTGCTGCAGCTAACCATGGGCTCCACAGGTAGTTCAGCTCCCTGGAAAGGACATCTGGCTCCTTCCCTGGTCTGAACCCAGCTGAGTTGCAGGGCCTGGCCCTTATACTTCCTGCCCTGCTAGGAAGTCTGGGATATGGATGGCTGGACTCAAACCCACATAATGCAGCATAGATGCTGGAGACCCAGGTTGGACCCAAGGTTCAACAGTTCTTAACCTGGGGTTACAAATGAGTGTGTAGATGCTCAAGCCCTAGGTTAACAAAGGCAAAGTCTGCTGACTCAAGTTCTGCTAATCCAGGGCATACATTGTGGTTTAGACATACCCTTTGTGGCCTATAGTCTCCCATGTGCAGGCATGATCTGGCCAGAGATAAGTTATATCGTTATTCACTCAGGATCCAGCTGCTTTGTCAATCTAGTTTGAGAGACAGTCATGATGGAACTTATGTCCAAGACTTGTTTCAAAATCAGCTAGAATGCAAAGAAGAAAGTTCAGATTGAGGATGGATAGTCTGGCTTTATTTAAAAAAAAGAAAGAAAATTGCACTACTCTCTCCTTAAACTTCTTGTGTTTGGATTTGTGCAACTGCTTGCTTGTGCTCATTCCAACTTCTCACAAGTTTCTTTTATTCTACCTGGACAGGGACTGTTTCCAATACATGATCCTTTCCATCTAGCACCTACAATGTTTTCTCCGTACTCAGGGTATTGCAATAACAGCCCTTAAGGAGAAAGGTAATCTGATTTTTCCACTATCTGAATATGTTTAAGTCCAAACAGTTAGAAACAGCTCCAATAAATCTTGTTCAAAACATCAGTTCTACATACCTGGTGTGTCTTTTTTGATAAACGGGGAGGAGAGCTGGGTAAATTTTCAAATAGTTTATTAGAAAAAATTCACAGGTCCTATTCATAAAGTGCAAAGCTGGGTAAACAATGAAGAAGAAGAAATTTTTTAACTTCTTTAAAAAATCGTAAATTTCATTGTGTACCTTACTTTAGGGGGAAAATAACCCTTGTTTTATGGTAGGGCTTTCTCACCCAGGAGTTGGTTTTCATATCATTGTCTCCCTCATTCTCTTCTCTAGACAGAGCTGTTTCAATCATTCTAGTTTGTTTGGGAACTCCTACATAGTATATACATAACTGTCAGGGCCTTCAACTATTCAGTCTTATGTTCTCAGGTTTAGGCGTTGTCCAGTTATATGTTCTGCACCCTCTTCAAGTCCTTGTGGGCTCAGCTGTGAACGCTAGGAGTCCCTCTCCAGGTAATCCTTCCTTCCCGATTGGATTGTGAAATCCCTGCTTTGGGTGACTAGTAGACTAGAAAGAAGAATCTCAGTTGGGAACACCTCTAGTCATCTTTAAGTTCTGGAATCTCAACTACTGCTGCTATTCTTGGTGGGGCTAGGTTCATATAAACCTTAAATCATGTCAAGACTACAGGAAAATGTTTCTTGAAATTCTCTACAGAACTGTTCTGTGTTTGTACAGCGCCTAGCACAATGGGGGCCTGGTCCATTACCAGGTTCTACTGCAGTATAAATAATAAATAATGTGCCTTTCCACCTAAATCAGGACATCTTCCAGTCTAAGTAGATGCAACTATTTTCTCTGGATGTCAAGTGGTTACCCTTTTCCACAGGAACAGTTTTCTTTAGGAAATTGGATGTGGTCTCATTTACAGAGATTACAAAAAAAGGACAAGTTATCTATGGTCACATGTTAGATGGCAATCAGAGCAGCTTTTTCTAGTATCAGCAAGATTCCTGACATAGATTTGTGCCTATTTTAATAGGTCCTGTGTGAAGAACAACAGCCTTTCATGTGGAGAGGTCTGCAAAGCCAGGAGTTAAATGTCCCACTGATCTTCACTAAATCTGAGATGTGTATATAAAAAGAGTTGGAATACTTAGTACTGCTTTTAATTTTTTGGATGCCATATGTCTATGTTTAAAAGATCACTTTAATATATCCTTACACTGTCACCTTTTTCTTTTTGTGCATTCTGCTGGTTGTTGCATTTCAATAGTTGATCCAGATTGGCAGATGGACACTCAACAACTTTATATTATGAGTAATTTGGCTTTCCCATAGTCGGACATTCACCAATCTGCTTGATCACTTCCTTTCTTGATCTTGCTCTAGCTTTGGAAATACTCTTTGGGACATGAGAGCAGCAGTTTGGCACTATATATCTATACCTATATATAGTCCTAGTCTTAGGAATCAAGAAGAAAGTTCATATGCTGTTTTATAGAAGGAGGCGGGCAGGACAAAACCTGTTGGATTGGATGCTGTACACTGTTCCAGAAGACTGATTTACACGTAAGACAAAACTGTCTTATCTGTGGTGATTTTTTTTTTTTGCAATAAATTTATTTAGTCCTTAAACAGATCTTACATGTATATTCAATCAGTTTTCTATTATATTAAAGTAGTTTGGGTTCTTTAATCAAATAGTTTATTCTTAACTGAAGTTGTATAATTTAAAAAATACTTTAAGATGACTTAACATATGTAAAGACAGAAATTGCTATGAAAGGAGAAAATTGACCTAAATTTATTAGTAACTTTTTCTTTTTTTAGACACACTGTGTGCAGTACTAGAAAGAGACACACTTAGTATTCGAGAAAGTAGACTCTTTGGAGCTGTTGTTCGCTGGGCAGAAGCAGAGTGTCAAAGACAGCAGCTGCCTGTGACGTCAGGAAACAAACAGAAAGTGCTTGGAAAAGCTCTATCTCTAATCCGTTTTCCACTAATGACTATTGAAGAGTTTGCAGCAGGTAACTGTGGGTTACTTTATCGTACTAATATGCTAATGTAATTCAGAGAAACACATTATGCTAATAATGGACTAACTTTACAAACCTTTCACAACTACCCTGTTAGTAACAAATGCATTTCACTCCTTCCTATCAAAACAGTCCATCTTGCAAAAGTTGTGCTGGTCTGAGACAAATCATGATGGACTTTACACTGTTTATTTAAATACAACAATTCAGAATTAAAATGTTAAAGCATATCATATTCTCAGAAACATGCTGCTTCTATTCCTAGGTCCTGCTCAGTCTGGAATTTTGTCAGATCGGGAAGTGGTAAATCTCTTTTTGCATTTTACGGTCAATCCTAAGCCTAGAGTTGATTATATTGACCGACCGAGATGCTGCCTCCGAGGAAAAGAATGCAGCATAAACAGGTTCCAGCAAGTGGAGAGCCGTTGGGGGTACAGCGGAACAAGTGACCGAATCAGGTATTGGTCATGAGTTCTCCAAGGAGAAAAAAACATGTGACTCAAATGCTGCTTTGTAGTACTGAAAGCAGTAACATACTGATTTACCACGGATACAACATTTGCACTGTCTATTTAAAAAGTAGATTGTGCGCACACTCATAGATAAAAGCATTTAAAATAAAGAGAATAAAGGGAAATTCTGGAAAAATAGTTTAGGTGGATTCTAGAGTATAGCTTATTAATGATAACATGCATTGCCACATTTAAAATTGGATCTGTTAAAATGTTTCCTTTCAGAGCTGGTCAAAATAGAGGTATTTTTGTTATTCAGTATACTGAGTCCTTCAGAATGATCCTTGTGGAATACTGGGGCCTTTAGTTGTAAAATTGAGGTCTTAGGATGCCATCTCTTTAGTAAAACTTCATTTTACAGTAAGCCTGGTTTGCTTTATTAAATTGTATATAGTACTATATCCTGAGCTTGATCCAGCACCTTTTAAATCAATGGGAGTCTTTCCACTGACTTGAGTGGGAGCAAGATCAGGGCCCTGTGACTATTGTTGAAATGTGATATTTATAACTCGCCTTTCTCCTGTGTCAGGTTCACAGTTAATAGAAGAATTTCCATAGTAGGATTTGGATTGTATGGATCTATTCATGGACCCACAGACTATCAAGTCAATATACAGGTATAGTATATTTTTAATTAAACCGCTTAGTAGAAACTAAATTTGGTACAAGGAACAATTCTTAAATAAGGCTTACTATGAATTTGATTTGGGATGGAGCAATTATTTAGTCCAGATAGATCATGACACATTTGCATATAAAAATGTGAATTGACTTCAACAATATGATTCTATTGTTTGTCCCTTGGGTGTGACTGAGATAGAAAGTTAAACTTCTGAGTCCTACTTTCTTATTTTTAGCAAGCTACTTCCTATTCTCCCCTTAAAATTAACATGGGAACTGTGAGATTAATAGAATCTGTAGTCGGAGTATAATCGCTAAAATGAACATAAAACAGAATTGTGTAGTCATAAAGTTCTATAGGTATTGCTACATTCTTGGAAGAATTCAGTGATGTGTTTTTTTTAGATCTTTCAGTGAGCACCTGTTTGTTTATGAAGATATTTATTCTTTAAAGGTGTCTTGGACAGCAGTATAGGTTTACTTAAAAGTTAGTATTTCTCCAGGAGGTATTTTTTTGTAATAGATCAACACTCCTGGTTCTTACTCCCAGTGCATAACGGGGTGAATTCCCATTCATTAAAATTCCAGATGTTAATTGTGTCACAAGCAGATGGTACACACCTTCCCCGACTGAGGTAGTACTACCCTTTGTGTTAAATTGGATGGAACAGGGAACTGTTGTTATCTGTAATGCTTATTCTAATGTAAGTAGTCCTATTGTGACTGAAAGCAACTTTGTATTCACACCTGACACACCATTGTAATAATCTTTGTACAAAATGTGCTTTGTGGGTACCATGGGAAAACTAATAACTCACTGGTCAATAATATCATGTTGAAATGTATCTAGTTAACAGTATATGTGAAGTTATGAATTCCCCCTGTATGATGATGATAGCCTGTCTAGGCCAAAGTTGTTAAATAGGCCTATCGTAAAGGAAGGAATGTGTGTTTACCTCAATCAGGGTCCTCAACAGCAGGGGGAAGAGGTGGCAGGAAACAGAACAATTTGCATTTCAGCAAAAAACAAGTGGGGGGAGGAGGGAGAGAAAGCATGGAGCCTCCTTCACCATTGAACTCCCATGTCGCCTTCCTTACTGCTTGAATAAACTTTACACTGAATGGTAACCTTCAGAAGAATCTACTTCCAACGTTTATTGAAATATAAAAGAAAGGGGCAGAGAACACGAAGTTCTCTCTTTCACCTAAGAAGACAAAGGCGCCAGCACCTGTGGGCCACTAGGAGATAACATGACCAAGGACAGGGTCAGTTACCATCATGCTGCAAACTAGTGAGTGAGAAAGGCCATCTTGAACAAAAGCCTTGAACCAAACTTGCTAGATTAAGTTTTAGGCCTTTAGACACATTTTCATTTTTATTTGCTTGTATCCATTTCTAGCTTTATCACTTATACTTGAATTCACTTAAAATCCTATCTTGTTTTTTGTTTTATTCCAAGGCTGTGTTTAAACTGAACTGTTTGATAACTCCAGTTAAAGTAACAAAACTGTTGAATATTAACTCCTTACAGGAGCAACAAACCTTAATATCTGAATTGTCCAGGAAAGGGCTGGACATTACAGAACGCACATTTTTGGGAAAAATCTGGGACTTGGGAGTTTGTTGGGGTCATCCTGCCAGTAGTAACCAAGGCTGGTGGAAGCCAGTGTGTGACTGGTATTTTGCTGGCAAGCAGCTGGGGTCAGAGCTGCTGGACCGGGGCTGCAGCTATACACAGACACTGAGGGTGTGACCTGCATGTTGGTAGGCTGGTTGTGAGCGGCCCAGGTTGGGAACTACAGCAGCAAAGCATTGTGAGGCACCCAGGATTACAGGGCAGGCAGCGACAAAACCCTTCACTGGTCTGAATAGTACCCCAGAATGTGACACTTATATATGTTGATGCTTGGTTGGGTTTTTTGTGACTAGAGTTTTCTTCAAAATTGTAAACTAATTAACAGGTAAAAAGACACTTCTATTTTATTTTTTTTATGCAGATAATTGAATATGAAAAAAATCAAACACTGGGACAAAATGATACTGGATTTAGTTGTGATGGAACTGCTAATACATTCAGAGTTATGTTCAAAGAACCTATCGAAATTTTGCCAACGGTCTCCTACACAGCTTGTGCAACACTCAAAGTAAGCATGCTTAAGAGAGCATAGAAATGAACATAATGGAAAGTTGTTTGGAACCAATATTTTAGCCAAATTTTAAACTATCTGGTAGGGAAACATCCTCTAAGTCTCTCACGCTCTCTTTTTCTTAATTGTCTAGTTTTGCTTTTGAAGTGCTTGTTTTTGAATTGGCTTTCAAGGGGGTGGTGGAGCTGTTGTGGCTTTATGCTTTCCCAAAGCTGAGCTGATCCAGGAACCAGAGCAGATCCCAATGTAACTATCACCTACTGCCTATGGGCAGCAGCACTACCTACATCAGGGGTTCTCAAACTGGGGACCGGGACCCCTCAGGGGGTCACAAGGTTCTTACATGGGGGGGGGGTCGTCAACTGTCAGCCTCCACCCCAAACCCCACTTTGCCTCCACCATTTATAATGGTGTTAAATATATAAAAAGTGTTTTTAATTTATAAAAAGGGGTCGCACTCAGAGGCTTTCTATGTGAAAGGGGTCACCAGTACAAAAGTTTGAGAACCATTGACCTACGTTCTCAGCATTGCAGCTCCTCTCTCCTGCTCCCAGCCCATCCGTGGCATGCCCCCTACATCATGGTTTGTGAGAGAGCTCTTGCCTCTGTCTTCCTCAGTGCCTGCATTGGGGAATTTCTTCCCTAAGCCAGACCTGGGATTTCTACACAACTCTGTACTTGATGTACTGGGGCTGGAATAAAGGTGGGAATCTCCTAGGAGTTGCGTTTTTTTTTTTTTTTTTTTTTTTTTTTTTTTGCAGGGCGGGGGCGGGTTAGTTGTGACTTATTGTTTAAAAATTTTACTTTGGATGCAATTTTGAAGCTATTAGTTTACTTGCAGAGGTGAAAATGTGCATTTGTAATATAGTATTAGTGGAAATTTGCATCAAAACTCGAATCTATCCTTTGTGTTAACTGTATTTTTCTTCCTTCTAATCAATGATATACTTTAAAAAATGCTTTAAATTTTCTTAAGCTCAGGTTTAGCTGTTATGCGTATTCTCTTCTAAAAGTCCTCCATTAAACATAATAGGCTGCTTTGTCCATTACTAAGAGTTCATGTTGGGGGGGGGGCTAATCTAATTCTCTGTCCAAAAATCAAATACAGTAACTCCTCACTTAACGTCCTCCCGCTTAATGTTGTTTCGAAGTTCAGTCGCTGCTCCATTAGGGAACATGCTCGTTTAAAATTGTGCAATGCTCCCTTATAATGTCGTTTGGCTGACTTTACAAGGGAGCATTGCACAAGTTCCTCTTCTCCGCCTCCTCCTCCTCCCATCCTCCCTCCCTCCCAGCGCTTCCCCTGCCGCCAAACAGCTATTTGGCGGCTCTTAGGACTTTCTGGGAGGGAGGGAGCGGGGAAGCTTGCCCCCCTCCCCAGCAGGCAGGGCCACCCGGAACGCAGGGGCTTTAGGCGCTGCAGGGCCCGGGGCTAAGGGGGGCCCCAGGACCTGGCCTGCAGCTCTAAATCCTCTTTCGGAATGCCGTCCTGTGAGCACGGGCCGGAGGACTCAGGAGGAGCAGGGGCAGCCGTGCAGCCAGCGTCCGGAGAGAAGCGGCGCTTTCCCCTTCAAAGCTGGACAGAGAGAAGTCGTAGGTGCTGCCAAACAGCTGTTTGGTGGCAGGGAAGCGCTGGGAGGAAGGGGGAGAGTGGGGATGCGGCGTGCTCCATGGAGGAGGTGGAGTGGGGGTGGGAAGAGGCAGGCCTGGAGCATCCCCTGGCAAAGTCAGCACGTATTCTTCTGGGGGGAAGCTGCTGCTGCACAAGGTGCTTCCTAGCGTCCTTGCCTGCCTCATGGTCTGCAGCGGGCAGTGCCTGTGTGGGGTAAGCCAGAGGCACCTCCCCACCACAGTACAGTACTGTACAGTATATAATGCTTTTTGTCTGCCCCAAAAAAATTTCCTTGGAACCTAATCCCCCCCCGCCCCCGCATTTACATTAAATCTTATGGGAAAATTGGATTAGTTTAACATTGTTTCACTTAAAGTTGCATTTTTCAAGAACATAACTACAACATTAAGTGAGGAGTTGCTGTATGAAATTTCACAAATCTGCATACCAGAAATTTCAAACACTTTAAATATTAGTATAGGCTTACATAGTAAATACACACAGTAAAAACATTCTGGCATATTAGTTGCCAGATGAAGCAGACAAGTTGGTGTCTGAATTCTCCTTTCAAAGATAATAACAAACTCCAGCATTGCTTTAGTCTGTGATACCTCTGGAGAACCTTGAATTGTATCAGGTAATACATGCTAGACTAATACAATTCAAGGTTTTCCAGAGGTACCACAGAGTAAAGGAATGCTAGAGCTTGTTATAACCTTTTTTTTAAATTTTATATTATATTATGTTAATTATATCATATATATAAATAAATTAATTAAATCTTTCTGCTCAAATAGCTACATTTTCTCCAATTCACTTAACTACTTTTGTTGTTTATATTAGGGTCCTGATTCCCATTATGGTACAAAAGGATTGAAGAAAGTAATCCATGAATCTCCCACTGCTAGCAAAACCTGCTTTTCCTTCTCTAGTTCACCCGGTAACAACAATGGTACATCGATAGAAGATGGACAAATACCAGAAATAATATTTTATACATAATTACACAGAATAGTTCATCTCAGATAATGCAAGTAGCAATGTACAGACTGACATTGGCATAAAGTACTTGCTATTGGTGGCAATGATTAAATTCTATGAAATTACATAAATATATAATCTCTCCAGGTGTACTATGAAACTAGAACATTTCTTATAGGAGGTACCAGAAAAATCTATTTTTCTCTCCATGATTATTGGCAGGATATCAATAAGTTAACAGATGTAGTTCCTTTTTACCTTCACAAAACAATGAAAGTAAGAAGTACTCTATATTGTAAAGGTATTTTAAACATTATCTTGTGTTTTGTTGGTTTATTTACTTCCTGACTCCTTACATTGTCTTCAGCATTTGGTGAAATTCTCCTTTGATCTCCTCGTTTGTTATGGAATTTTGGTATATTATTTTTCTTCTTTAAAAATGCAATAGCTATATTACTTTGTCCCAGACTTGCATTTCCCTCTAAAATACTCTTGCAATGACCATTATGGACTCAAGTGACTAACTTTTTTTTTTTTTTTAATTACAGCAACAAAACTGGATTTATACTTTTTTTAAATTAAATGAGCCATGAAGAAATACCTGGGTTAACACTGTAAACAGTATCTGGAATTGTATTAAAGAAATATAGCACATACTTGTAGCTGAGATCTACAATGTACAATACTTCAATGGTCTTGGTTTCATTCAGAAATGTGTATTTTATAGTAATGTACTGGAGCGTGTAAGTTGGTATGGTGATGACTATTGTATATAAATATGCTTGCAAAAATGTATAATGTGAAGATATGAAAATACAAGACTTCTATTAATAGTATTCTAGGACCTGGATGCTCAAGCATTAACCAACACTAAAATCTTGATCTGATTTAACGTTATCTGTTTGTGCATTTAGTTCCAGAGAATATCTACAAGTGGGTATGAGGCAGTGCAGCCAATTGAAAGGTGCAATAAATGTACATAGATGATCAGTCAGTATACTGTGCAGCATTCTCTGCAGTTGATTAAACAGCCAAAGTGTGAAAATTCCCATTCACTCCACAGGATCCTGTACACTCCTACAAACCATACCCCAAGAAATTAGTATGGAGTTGAAAGCAATGACTGTTTCCCTAATGTTCTCATTACTAGCATAGGTATGATAAAGTGTGTACACTTACTTTGGATTTTATTTATAATGCCACTAATGTTATCTGAGCAGATAAATAAGGAGTATTTAGATCATTTAGTATGTTTATTTTAAAGTGAGCTTAAAATAAGTGAAAATCCCGTATCATTTTTTGCTTGCACAAAAGTCTTGTAATTTTTTAAAAATACATACAGTAACCACTGAGGTAGAATTAGAGCAGCTTTAAAGTTGAAATGACATTAATAGCAATGTAAGAGGACTTTAGTTAAACTATGTAGTGTAAATAAAGGTTCTTCAAAAAACGTGCAATTCTTTAGTTTAAATAAGCTTTTTTGTGGTTAAGTGAAATGCATGTCAGTTGAACTTAAAAGAAAAACTTCCTTTAGATTGCTGTTCCTAGTGCCATATGTCTAGATATAGATATTTGAAGTCACTGAAGTCCTGTGACATACTAATAAACAGTTGTCACTGCCTTAGCCAATATATATTAGGCAAAAAGAGAAATGCAACAGTAACTGTGTAAATCATGACTTCTGTTACCTTTTGTGCTCTTGAATTTCACTTTTTTTGGTCTAACCTGTAGTTACAGGCCTGACAGCTAGAGCTGGGGAGAGCATTCTACAGTTGCTTTCAAATTATACTGTCTTTTAAAAATAATTGGTGTACTGATCAATACACCTGAGCTGAGACTTACTATATTCAGTTCTTGATCATTACTACAAAGCTCTGCTGAGCCAAGGAGCTGGTATTGGCTTGGTAGTTCTTTAGTTTGGTGGTGCGTAATAAGAATGGACCACATCAGTTTTCTTTCAGACTTCCTATGTTAGGGTATGGAAAACGGTGTGTGTCTATTAGATCTCTTTTTAATTGTCCTTTAAATCGTAATATTTTTAGCAGTGGTGAATATAATTGGTAACATGCAAGCAGCCAGCCTGCTATGTAGAGGCAAAGACATTAACAAAAGTGGGGTTTCCTTCTCTAGCTGCTGGATGAAAAAATGTTAAGCTGATATAGAAGAACTCACAGAAGCCTGATTATCAGGTTGGAAATTTCCCTTCCTCCTTAGTGTTACTCTTATTACTTACAAAGATAAGTCATTAATATGTACAGTTCAGGACTGGAGAAAATGCATCTAGAGTAGAACCATAGGATAATGTTGAATATTCAGCATTAGCTTACCTTGAAATGTTACAAGCTATTGAAAGATGAATCACTGAGAAATGCTAAGAAATCTCATCTAGTTCTATCATGCTGACAGTAATTACTTAAAAAATGTATTTTCTTCAATACGTATTTCTCTGATAATCTATTGGCTGAATTATTTCTATTTTCCTGTCTGGCAAGTGATAAATTACTTAAGTACATTATTTGGCACTGAAATTAAATATAAGAGCTAATGTGTCATTTCTCCTATGAAAGTCATTAGTTAGCTTAAAAAACCTGACCAAAACATCTTGTAAAGTGGGTTATTAACGTTTTCAGTATTCTTTGTTCTATTGCCCCAACTCTTAAGTGTATGTATCTTCTTGTGGTTCCTAACTGAAGATCGCAAAAACAAAGGAAAAAAAAACCCTTAAAAGTTAATGCAAAATAGAGGGTTAACTATTGAATTAAAAATAAATCAATGTATGCCAGTCACAAGTACTGTTTCTCATACCTTTACTCTAATGCTTGTCATGGTCTGCTACTGAAATAGTAAATACCTCTTAGTTACCCACCTGAGTATCTTTGTGCCAACTTTGACAAATCCACTTGCATCTATTTTGTGAGTTAAATGATCATGCATGTAGACTGCAATAGCAAAGTTGTGCTTACGTATTCTAGAGGAAGCTTTTGGTATAGTTACCCACCTGAGTATCTTTGTGCCAACTTTGACAAATCCACTTGCATCTATTTTGTGAGTTAAATGATCATGCATGTAGACTGCAATAGCAAAGTTGTGCTTACGTATTCTAGAGGAAGCTTTTGGTATAGAGGGAGTCATCTTTCCTTTTATTCTTTCCAAATCTTCAAGGCTTAGCTGGTGAGTAGGATAAAGACTATTGCTAGTGATCTTCTGGATGATTTGTTGAGGGTTGTTAGTAAGATTTGCAGTGGTTCTTCTGTGACTAATATAGCTTAATGCCTACATCGTATAGGCATTACAGTAGAAAATTAAAACATGTTTAAACCTATGATTACTGCTGCCTGGTAATTAAAATCTGTTTTCCACCTGTGCTCATTTGGTATGAGGTAATTCTTGGGGTGGGCACAAGGCTTTAGTCCACTTCCAAAGTGTCTTTCATCTGATAAAGTGCTTTAGAAATGTTAATTAATTCAGCCTCTTTCTGCTTTTGTCACAGATGTTATATGCCAGTTTTACAAATGGGTAGACTGGTGCACAACCACTTGGGCAGGATTAAGTATAGCAAACTCCTGCCAGTTTTGTATTTATTATGCTGCACACCGTAACTCATCTCATGTCTTCACTTCTGTAGCCACCTCTTCCTTTCTATCCTTGCTACTGTAATCTTGCCCCCCCCCCCCCCTCAGGTCTATTTAGAATGCTTCTACTGCCTTTCTGTCTGTTACTCTGTCACCTTCCGCCCATTCCACTGTCTTCTTTTTGTCCAACAGCTTGTCTACATTTGAGTTCCTTCATGAGGTGGCTGTGCTCCACCTCCTTCCTCTGTTAACTTATTGTGACACCTACCTATGCTCAACTATCATTCCCAGTTTCTTACCACCTATTAATCAGCTTCTCTGAAAAATGTTTGCCAAGGGAAAAAGTGTAATCTTTTTCAAATGCACCTTTTAATGATAAGTTTCATTCCCTTCCCCTGGTCCCTGATTTAGCCACTTGTAGACTGGATTCCCTGAGTTATAGACCATCTTCCAACAGTGATAAGTTGACAGGCCTGACTATATTTAGCATCTACAAGAAACTTTCCCTCTGCGACCCTTGACCAGTGGCTGAATAAAGTGACTCAAAACCAATTCGTTTCTTCAAATCAAATGTATTGTTTATTCAACTAAAGGTACACAGCAAGCAGAAACTTAAGTCTAAAATCCATCTGATTTTAAGTAAACATAATTTTTGTTCAAGTTTTAGTAAATTGTATCTAACCTAATTCTTCACGTGTCCTTTTAACTATATTAAGTCTTTTTCTTCTTTTGGTTCTGGAACCTGCCTGTTGCCTTTTCATAGCTGATAAAATAACTGAGCTGAGTGTTTGTTTTGCTGTTCCTTTATCTAGGTTATTGTTTTGCCTTCCCATTAAACTGCACCAATACAGTAACACAGTCCAATAACTCCACATAGCTATGTATTAACTATCTTAATAGTTTGGTAATTTTTTATGACTATATGACCAAAGACCAACGGTGCATTCTGCACACCTTTTCCTACTACTTCATCCTTTTTCAGATTACTTTGAAACCGAAGTGTGACTTTTGTTTTCTATGCAAAATTTGCATGTATTCTCCCCCATGCCAATTTGAGTGAGAACTTTTTGCAATAGGGACTTACTTTATGTCTGTATCATGCTTAGCAGAATGGGGACCTGATCGTGGGAACTCTAGGTATGACTAATAAAGAGCAGGCCACTCCACTAGCTACCAGTCTTGCAAGGATATAAAAAACACTGGACTGGGGAGTCTCAGAGCTATAGTAAACACATAATTTTTTAAAAAGGACAAAGCTTTGTTCCAGCAGCAGCTGCCCAGGGTATTTTACTTAGGGTTTGCAAGTGCCCCTCTGTATTAGCTGCTTCATCTAATTATTGCTAAAATAGGGGGATAAAACTAATTTTAGGGGTAGCCCCTATGTTGTTGTAACTGTCTGTCAGTAAGGTGTGTTAAGCGAGGGAAAATTCTGTATAAAGAGTGGTTACAAGAAGGCAACCAGCATTGGTTAAAGAGGAAGCATAAGCTTAATGGAGTGGTTTATCTAGCCAGCTCTAACAGAGCATGCAGTGGTATAGCTACCCAGTTTACGGGAGATTCTGAATGCAGGGCCCAGGCCCTAGCTCCATGCTGTAGGATTGGGCAATCAGTTGTACTGTGATACTGAAAAGCCGCACAGACCCATGGACAGTTGCTTTTTGGGCGAAGACCTGGAGTGGTTCACTGAGGGGCTCCTGCCAGATCTCTGCTTGCTTGTTTATTTATATTGCTGTTCAGGGTCACAGGCCTGCCTGCACGTTTTTTAGACTAAATAGTTCAAGACTACGGATCAAGGCTGATTCCCTCGCATCAATTTCGAGGGGGGGGGGGGTGGCGTATTTGCCCTTTCCATCCAGTCCAAAAAAAGCGCTCCACATTTTATTCCTGCTACAAACTGCATAAACCCCGCACTAATGTAACTCATGGGAAGGCCGCAGCTGTCCTCTGCACGAGGCAGGACCGGTGTAGCCACCGGCCCTTCGGACACGGCGTGCGGGGCCAGGCCCGGCCGTACAGCTGATATAATGGTACAGCCCCTGGTACCCCGCTGTACCGCGGAGCTGGCCCCCTCGCTGCACACAGGAGCGCGCAAAAGCCAGGGGCGGGCGGGTGCCCTCGATGCCGGCGAAGACAGTGGGGGCCTCGAGACCAGACCAAGCACCAGGACACCGGGCTGGCGGCTCTGTCCCTCGCTCAACGCCTGGATTAGAATGGAATCGAATGAATTAGCGCCTGTTCAATCTGCGCGTGCGCAGCACTCTGCCCTGCCCCGGAACTGGGACGCCGGACGGAGCGCGGTGTTCTGGTGTTGCCGGAAGTGCGGGTCAGAGCCGCCCACGGTTCGGTCTGTGTGATGCTGGTGGCCCTGGCCGGCTTCCGTCGGCGCGGCGGCTGGGGGCAGGGTCCCGTCAGTGCCTGCGTGCGGAGCTGGAGCGGGGCCATGCCACGGAGGGTCAGTGACTTGGGCCGGGGCCGCTCGCTCTGCGGAGCACGTTGGGCGGCAGCGGGGAAGGAAGAGAGCGGCTCGTCTCCGCCGGGGTGGCGCTGGGGTGAAGCCCCTGTAAGCCGGGTCAGCGGGCCCTGGCCTGGCGCTACTAACCTACCGCAGCGGTCTGGGTTCCTGCGCCGCCGAGGGGCAGCAGAGAAATGGCCTTTCCTGTTCGCCCCGTCTGCTACCCCGGGCGTTTGCCGGGCGGCTTCGTGCTGCTCGTGCCCCGACGCCGGCGCCGTGGGGAGCCCCCCCACACACACACACAACACACACCCGGTGGTTGGGTCGGTCACACAGCACCAGGAGGGGTGTGATTCTACAACCATTCTCGTTGCTTGGGAGCGGAGGGGCGACTCAGAAGCAAGAGTAGAGGCTAGATTTCAGATTTGCAATGTCACTTTAACAGCTGCTGGGTTTTTTGTTTTTGTTTGTTTGTTGTTCAGGGAAAAGAAAAGTGTAAAGACCCAGTAAAACCTCCTGTTCCGTCAGGTCCGGTTGTAACTGACAAAAGTGGTTCCGTCACTATTGCTGTTCATGCCAAACCTGGATCCAAACAAAATGCTATAACAGGTATATCCCAATGAAAAGTGTAAGTCTGAGGGAAATAGTTCATGTAATTAAACAAACAAAGCTATTTGGGAAGGCAAGTTTTTTTTCCCTCCTCTCCCTGCACCCATTTCTTTGCACAAGTTTATGGTCCTGCAGAGGTCCAAGTGATAGTGAAATGTGGCTTCACAAACTTCATTATATCAAAATAACCTGCTGTTCCTTGTGCTCCATTTGACTAGGTGTAGTTGATTGCACTGGTAAAACTGGAAAGCTGTGTTAGAGTAAATCCATCTTTTTGCAAGCAGGGGTAGTAATCCTGGGTAATCACTTGATTTTAGCTATATTCCAATGCTGCAGTCTATCTTCAGATGAGTGCAAAGCAAAAAACCTGTTATAGGATCCAGTGTTGTTGGGTTTTTTTTAAAGCTGACCTGTGTAGCAAGTATGTTGATTGAATAGCGAGAAATAATCTATTTTACACATCTGTATATATAATTTGTTCCATCCTCTTATGAACAGTACAGGCATTTATGTAAAGACAAAGGAAAATTTCTTTTCTGTTCAGCAGGGGGAGCCTACTTACCATTTATGACAAAAAGCTCAGTCAAATCTGATCTCTTTGTAGTGAACCATCCTTTGTTATAAAACTACAAGCTTTGTGATCTTTATTATGAATGGTATAAACACACATTCTCTTTCCTTCCACTGTAGATACAGGAAGAATCAGATATAAATAAAGTAGTAAAACTCAGCATGAGAGACTTGTGATACTCTGAATTGGAAGTTCCCCCAAGGTAGTCAAAACTTGAACTTCTATAGTGAAACAAGCAGGGAATTACAAACAAACAAAAATATCCTTCAGGCTTTCTTTAAAATAAACAAAAGACAAACTTTTCCTTTGCAGATCACCTTTGATGCCTTGTTTGTGCTAATTATTATGGTGATAAACACAATTTAAATGCTCATAGACAGAATGTTTTTAAAATCTTCAAATGCTTTAAACCAAGAAGCAACTAATACAAGTCTGGATGGTGCCATCATCTTCATGTTTATATGCAGACAAGAAGCATTCATTATGTAGGTATGCGCACTACACTAATTAGATGGGTCTGTTATCTGTAGGATAGTTCAGCACATATTTCATCTTCAAGGGACATTAGTGGGCATTGTTACAAAAGAGATGATAATCAAAACTACATAAGAACTACTGGGACATTAACCACAATTTCAAAATCGAATTGTAGATTGACCTCATGTCTGGAAGCAGAGACGGTAGTAGACGTGGATGTGAAGGGCCCAGTACCTCACATTGACACTTGGGAGAAAATTATGCAGAGTCTGCAGCCTGACAAAGCCAAACTCATGGAACAGGATCCAGATAACTACAGAATGAAACTTGTTAATTCTTAAAAGCATCACATTCTAGAATCTAAGGCCCACTCTTCCCTATTTATAAGGACTGTCTGTTAATGCGTACATCTGAGGAATTGATTAGCCTTGTTGTAAAGTGGAAAAAA